ACTTATGATGTAGATCCTATTGCTTTGAGCATTCGCGGATACCTTCCGATTGGAAAAAGGAAAACGCTAGAGATATCCACCAATTAGCATTCCGCATGTATGTTAAGGAGCAGCCAAAAGGATGCCTAAGGTTTAAGCAACGCCTTTTTTTCTATCATTGGCTCAAGATACTGTCGCGACAGTTCATGAATGGATGGTGCTTTGGTTGATATGCTACTCAAGGTTTGCTTGTCATGAGTTTGACAGTTGCTGAAATACTGAAGAAAGTGTTGGATATAGTTCATGGTCACCTCTTCATTCATTTTTCCTACCAGCCACAGTGAGATCGCTTATCATTTTGAACCTCAAGTAATTGCAGTTACACTAGCTCAAAGGGAATCAGCTCAAACTTTAAGTGCTCCATCAATCTAGAGCAACCTTCAAAACCTCTTCCGGTCAAAACCTCTTCACGCAAAAAACAATGATTTGGAAAGGAACCGTGTATTCAGGCCTATAGAGACTCGTTCAATGTCAATTGGTCGCAAATCTTAATCAAGAAATGGCGTACATTAGCGGAACACAACAATATGCCATCTTCAGCACCTCACTAGCTCCTTTCGCAATGAATAATGAACACAAAAGTACTCCTGAAAGTTTGATGCCATTGAAAGCAAGTACAAAAGGAATAGCGCGCCCGTACGCTAACCACGGCTGCCGCACGCAAACCGCCCGGGCAGCTAGCCCGGTAGGAATAGCTGGCGCCATCTTTGCTTCATTTTTTGATTTGTCATCTTTTTCGAGTACTTAACGCAACTTTCTAGGTTTCTACTCGTCAGTTGTCATTTTTCTCTCGCATACCCGACAGCTTCGCTCTTATCAAGCGAGGAAAGAGGTGCGCATTAAATTAATTGCGCTATCATTTCATTCTTTATCCATGATCACTTTTTTTTAGTCCCTAACACAGCCAATTCCTTTAATTTGTGGTATCGATAGTGGTAGCCAGTTCCTTCAATCTTTGGTAGCCGTCATAAACAGGTCAGTTTTTTCGTTTTCAGAACTTTTTACTTTCGGGACTGTCTTACATGTTTCTTTAAGGATCCATCGCTTGCGGTAGGATTCAAAAAGTACTTGCTCCTTGCTGGATCTTCACCTCCTGTGCAGGTAAGCTGCTTTCATGTTGCTTATCAACAACATGGTATCAAACGATCAAGCTTCGTTCGTGAGGGTTAGCTCTGGCCTATTGGTTTTGCGAGAGGGAGTGGTGGCAGGGGGTTATGCAAGGGGGGTGCGCGGTGAGAGGATTTAGTGAGGGGGGAGGAGGAGGGGATAGGCGTTAGTGAAGACGAAGGGGTTACTCGGGTGAGGGGAGGGGTTATGGAGGAGGCTAAATGGGATTATTGGAGGAAGGATAGTGGTAGCAGGAAAGGTTATTGGGGTTTGGGTTCACTGATATACTTGCACTTGCTGCTGGAGGTTAGCAACTGGAACCTA